GGGGGAGGGGAAGGTACACGCAATTAAGTACATTCTAGCTCTCATACTTTATGATTTTTAGCTCGCAATCTACTACAAGAGTACTAACTTAAGCATCGGAGCGACCTTGCCAGGTTAGCCACCTCGGGTCCTCTAGCATTGTTTCCTTGCAGGTCTCTTCAAAGAGCTACCCATCTTGGCACCCGAGCAGCCTCCTAATTCAATCTAGTCAATTCGGCATCCAAGCCTTTATTCAGCAGAAATACTCCAGCTTGACCTCTGAGTCATTAGACACCGGGAAGTAGTCAGAACAACAAGGTGCGGCCAAAAAATCCTTCATCAATTGGCGCCGTCTGTGGGAAACACTACAAGAAGCTAAGTTCTCACCTTCTAAAAGGCTAAGTCCTCTTCTTCCAGAAAGCTAAGATCTCACATTTTACAAATTTAAGTTCTCACTCTCTAATTTCCATTTTTTACTAACTCAAAGGCATTTTTAAGTAATACCAACATCGAGAACAAAGAATCAATTACTAGGGGGCAAGAACATGAGAACCCTCCTCCATGACAATCAAGAAGCTTGGTGCATTCGAGCAATTAGTAGCAAAATGACCTCAATAACCAGTAGTCTGGCGACATGCACCTCGGAGTAAGGCCGCCCCTGCAGGTCGAGCCACTCATGGTTCCGGTAGGAGTTGATGGCCAACTGATTAAGTAGCTTTGCCAACCTCATTTTAGCTTGGACGAGCCTTGTTAGCCTTCTTCGCGAGGTCTCCCCTACAGGTTGAACCCTTTGTGGCTCCCACGGGAGTTAGCGGCCTATGGACTGTGTGGACGCCCTTGCTAGTCGAGCCTTTCAAGGCTCCCACGCGAGTTGGCAACCTACAGCTAGTCGAGCTGCTTCCGCAGGTTGAACTCCCTGTGGCTTCTCGTAGGAGTTGACGACCAACGTCTCCAAGGGCTAATGCAATGCAACCGCGGCATCAACTTGTCATCTGACGTCGAAAGTAATGACAAAACCTACAAACAGAATAGAAACGAATAACCAGCCCGAGCAAGCCTCAACGATCTGACCTGGATTACCTCTAGCCCGAACTGCGAAGCCTCACTACAAATCGAGCTTTTATGGCCCCTTTGAGAGTTGGAAGCGAGTTGAAAGTGGAACCGCCCTCATAGGTCGAGCCCCTTATGGTTCCCGTGAGAGTAGGCGACCCATAGACAGCAGAGCCCACCCCCTCAGGGTGAGCCTCCCATGACTCCAATAGAAGCAGACAATTAGCGGTTCCAAGAGCAATATGCCATGATCTTGCAAGTACCTTCCTGAGGAAGCCAATCTCAAGTGATGATGTAGAAGTAGCCACATCTAAGGGTACAACAGAATGACCACCCACTTGAGCGAACTGGTTAGGCCACACGTTGGCTAAATAATATTATGAAGAGTGGACTATGAGTCGCTCTCAGAGCCTAAGGGCTATGGTGTCGAGCTGACAAAAGACCTCGGCACAATATGAGTCCTAGTTGCTTCTTCGGCATAGGTAGATAAGTCCTAGTCGCCTCTTCGGCATGGGTAGAATCAAGAATAAGGAGAGTGGACCGCGAGTCGCTCCCAAAGCCTAAGGGCTAAGGTGCCGAGCTGATAAAAGACCTCGGCACCACATGAAACCTAGTCGCCTCTTCGGCATGAGCAAAATGAAGGATAAGGAGAGTGGACCGTGGGTCGCTCCCAGAGCCTAAGGGCTAGGGTGCCAAGTTGATAAAAGACCTCGACACCACATAAAACCCAATTGCCTCTTTTGCATGGGCGAAATAAAAAGTAGTTCGCATTCAGCACGAGGAAGAGAACAAAGGAAAAACTAGTTCGCTCTCAGCACCATGACGGATGCAAGCTTGGCCGATCTCTTCACTTCGGTTTTAGGCTCTACGTCGAACTCACTGGCTACTCTTTTGAGAACCAGTTCGAGTGACACTGCGTCGAAGCCTGCCTAGGTGGAGCAACCTAATAAAACAATCACACAGTTAGAATCCCTTTTTGGGGATGGCATGATGAGCTTCGCTCTTGAAGTACTTAGCTAGATTGCAAAACCCCTTGATGGTCACATCCCTAATAAGGTAAATGTCCTTGGGGTACCTGCTCCACCTCTCCTCGAGTAGATGAATTCGCTCTCCCCGAAAATCAATATGGCGAGGTCTTGCATAAGGCAGCAAACACTTGAACTCTTCCAACCTGAGAAGCAAATTGGACTGACGCATATGACTACGAGCTTATCAAATAGTCATTCTGAGCCAAAAGGAACGATATACTCCCTTCGTCGAGCTGCCCTCAGCTCGGGAGTGGGGGGCAATTGATGAGGGCAGATTTGACCCTCCAGTCACATCATGACACATGGCAGCTTGGAACAGCTAGATGACACATAGACACCACCTAAGCAATGATTTGGAGTCCTAGGTTGTAGTTCGTCTTCACTCCAACCTAGCAAATTCGACCACAACTTAGGCTGGCTAGGAGCACCTCGTCTAGGGCTGATCTTTAGCAGCTCGTCATTGGCGGATGTGACCTCGATGCGAGGAGTGACCTCCCTTGAGGGCTTGCCAACTTGACTGAGGTCCAGGAAGCGATCTGCGAGTTGTGCTGCCGACAAATTCGGTATGCATTTCTTGACACTCCCAAGTTTTTCGGAAGTTGGCCCACGTACCGAGTGTTCCGGAGAATGGTCAATGTGCGTGGCGGTTACCTTTGGGGATTTCAGACCGGTTAGGCAACCTCCCAGAAATCTCGGATACGGTGCGGGAAGCCCACGCCAAACAAAGCCTATATAAAGGCACCTCCCGGAAATCCCAAAAATCTCGTAGGTTGCCTCCTGGACCTTAGTCAAGTCGGCAAGCCCTTGAGGGAGGTCGCTCCTAGCGTCGAGGTCACATCAGCCAGTGACGAGATGCTAAAGGTCGCCCTAGATGAGGTGCTCCTAGCCAGCCTAAGTTGTGGTCGAAGTCGCTAGGTCGGAGTGAAGATGAACCACGATTTTGGGACTCCAAATCATTGCTTAGTTGGTGTTTATGTGTCATCTAGCTGTTATAAGTTGTAATGTGTCACGATGTGACTGGAGGGCCAAATCCGCCCTCATCAATAGTGGTGATGTATATACACAATGCCACAATTCCTTACGCCTAATTGAATTACCAATAAGCCCATTTTTCATTGGGATTCGCTGGAAGGGCAACTTTTTATCCCTAATATAAATAAAAATAGTTATTTTAATACAAGGAAAAATCTATGATGTGAGAAAGACATGGTATGGAAAGAGTTTTGATCAATCAAAATCTACTCATGAATTTTGATAAATAACCCTTGATTGCCTACCATGTTTATAATACGAATTAATTAGTAAAAAAAAATAGATATTATATTTTTCTGATATCATAATTGAATCCTTAGTATAATTTTCAAAATAGAATAACTTTTCAAAAAATATTAAATAAGGGCACAAGATACTCTTCACCCCTTTCCTCCTCTCGAAGCAGCGAACAACAACACAAACCTTGCCCACTTCTCTCTCTCTCCCTCCCTCCCTCCCTCCCTCTTTCTTCTTGTTCTTCTTCTTACAAACAATAACAAACCTGTGGTTTAAGAAGAATTGAGATCTGCTCCTCGTAGAGTGTTGGAAACATTTTCCATAAATAATAACATACAAATATGTACGGTTGAAACATACCGTGATATCGGTGTGAGGAACATATCCGATCACATTGGCGCCTCACATGCACATTCTCAACCGTCATCCAGGTCCAGATAAACGCTCGAGAATATGCCACATGGCTCTCGATTTCCAGTGTGGTCCTACCACTTCAACGAACGAGGAAAACGGAAACCTCGTGAAAGGAGCGGATCCTTCGGGAACGATCGCCGACAATCGTCGGTGCGGTGTGGTTTTGGTTTCTGACGCACGTGGCAGTTGATTGTTTTGGTCATGAGTACAGTAGTAATCTTCCCAATACCCAATCCCAGAGTAGGACTGTAGGAGGAGGATAGGAGAAAGGGTAAGCTGCGGTGTACCCCTAGTCCATGTCCATCTACGCCACGCATAATTCCACGGGTATCTATCTAGTTAATTAATTATCTATCGTCTTCGTTTCTTGAATCTTGAGTGGACGACTTAAGCAAAGATAAAACGCGTTTTTTTCTTGTTTTGACTGTAACAGAACCTACTACCTAGCAAAGTAGCAATAGCATTTTGCTTTTTACTTTTTCCGTTAATCTCCCAGTTCGATCTGAGAGTCCAGGGTGGCAGAGTTCCAGTCACTAACTTACTCCTACTACTCCCCTACACGTCCTACTCTTTTTATTATTATTATCCATCAATTACTTTGGATTTTATTAATTAAAAATAAATTATTTCTAAAAATTTCCTTTTATGAGTTTATCCTTCTTCTCAAAGGAGAGAATGGTTTTTGAGTTCGAACAGAACTGGTACACACAGAGAAAGTAAGTTTTCTCTCGCCAGCTGTTATATACGTATCGGTCCTTTCTCCTTCCAAAACCCTAATTTACTTCTCGATTTATGTAAGATCTTCTCTGAAATCGATTTTTAGGCAGAATGGCTCTGATTTGCTGATTCCGGTCTCGATCTAGACTTCGGAGGTGCAGTTTCAGGGCTTCGATCTGAAAATTCGATTCTTCAGAGAGTTCCGGAAGTTCTGTTTCTGCATCTCTACCGATCGATGGCATCCAAACTTGTAAGTCTCTCCGATCTCAAAATATCCGGCTTATCTATTTCTGTTTTCAATTGATTTCCACCGGTTTGATACTGTGATCGTGGGGGACAAGGAAAGTACAACAAACTTATTCGATTTTAGGTTCCTTTACTCCCTCGTTTGCTTCATTCCACTCCTTTTTGTCCAATGACGGCGGAGATGAATGGAACTTTTGAGGTTGAATTTGAACGGAAGAGCTCTTCGAATTTGAGTTCCTGTGAAGACCGTGGGAAGATCGGTGCTGAATACAACTGCATTGTGCATGACGGTGCAGAAGAGATTGATCCCGATGCCAAGGAGGACGGAGATGCTTCTTATGTTTTTGTCAATGGAGCAGATTCTGCTTCTGATGATCTCGTAGAAAAGGATCTCGATTCAGAGTGTGTCGTGGATCCAGCTGAAGCAATGGAAACGGAGCCTGCAGTCGAGGAAAAACCAGTTCCGGAATACAATGGTGGTTCTTCAAGCGGTGTGAAACTGGTCGAATTTGAAGAATTGAGTGTTCAAAAGGGAGATAAATCTTGTGTAGAGAGGACTTGCAATGTCGAGGAAAATATGGTTCTGCCTTCCAACCATGGTGATACCATGGAAGGCTTGCAAGTCTCACAGAAAGGCGATGAAATTGAGAGGAGTAATACAATTGAGGAGAAACATGAAATACAATTGGAACTGGAACAGCTAGACAGCGAGGAGAAGGTGGAGATGCAGAGTGAATTAGCATCCTCTGCGGAAGTAGAAGAAAGTCTGAAATCTCAAATTACGGTTGGGGAAACTGTTGAACATGAAATACAATGGCCTGGTAATGAGGGAATGGAAGAATTAACTACAGAGGTGGAAGCCAATCAGGAAATTCCAATCTTTATTACAGAGACTGTTGCGTTGGAATTGCAACAGCTTGACAATGAGAAGGTGGAGAAGCAAAATGAATTAGTATCTTCTGAAGAAGTAGAAGAAAGTTCGAAATCTCAAATTATGGTTAGGGAAGCTGTTGAATATGAATTACAACAAAGCAGTAATGAAGGGGTGAAAGAATTAACTATGGAAGTAGAAGCCAATCAGGAAGCTCTGATCTCTATTACAGAGACTGTTGAGTTGAAATTGCAACAGCTTGACAGTGAGGAGAAGGTGGAGAAGCAAAATGAATTAGTATCTTCTGTGGAAGTAGAAGAAAGTCCAAAATCTCAAATTATGGTTAGGGAGGCTGCTGAACATGAATTACAACAGTCCAGTAACATGATAGAATTAACTACAGAAGTAGCAGTCAATCAGGAAACTGTGACCTCTATTACAGAAACTGTTGAGTTGGAATTGCAGCAACTTAATAGTGGCAAGGAGGCTGCAGCACAAAATAAGTTTGAGGAGGATATGGAGCAGAGTAAGTTATTAGAGTTTTCTGCGGAGATAAAAGAAAATCGGGAACCTCAGCGAACCTTATCTTTCAAACAGCTCGAGGAGGAGAAGCTTGAGATGCACCATCATGGGGAAGAGGTTGAAGAACATATTAAATTCGAGTCAGCTAAAGAGGAAGAAGAAAATTTGGAGACTCAAACAAAAGTTACAGAAGCAGTTGAACCCAATGAGTTTGATCAGCAACAAAATTCTGAGGGGAAAGCCAAGCAAAGTCAATTAGATTTCGCCACAGAAGTTGAAGATAGCGCGGAGATTCCTTTGGAGCACTCCTCAGAAGGCCCCAGGACTGAGCTTGAGCCAAGGCCGGAAGCAGTTATTGTAGATACAAGTATACAAATAAAGGCTGTAAATGATTCTGATGAAAGGCAAGAAAAGTCTCAGTGTCCTATTGGTGAGATGGAGACTGAACTGGAAAGTGCAAATAGATCTGCTAGAAATATCCAAAGCTTCTACTGTCCAACAGGTGACTTGAAATTGGAAACTGAAGTTGAAAGTACAATCATTGAACATGATGAATGGGTGCCTGCTGATCCTGTTGATGATCCGGGACTACAATCAGAAGTTGTAAATTATTCCCAAAAGAAAATAGAAGCTTCTCCCACTTGCCCCGTTGATAAAACAGAGTCAGAAACTGAAGTTAGAAATCCTTCTGAAGTCAATGAGAGTTTGGTTGCTGATGCTGATGATAGAAAATCAGAAAATGTTGTTCATAATGGATCTGTTGATGATGTAGAAAGTATAACTACTTGCCCTGCTAATAGTGGGGAATCGAGAACTGTGGTTGGAAATGGTTCTATTGAAGTAGAGATGGAAGTGGAGGATACGAACACTTATGTTGTAAATGCCAGTACTTTGTCCTTGCCTACCTATAATGTTGCTGATGTGGGATCAGAATCTGAAGTTGGAAACATCTATCGTGTGAATGAAGGGGAAATCCCTACTGCAGATGTTTCAAAGTTGGAAGTTCCAGTTCAATTTGGCTCATTTGGAATTAATGGAAGTGTTCCTAACTGTTCCAATAATGTTATAGATATTGAAAATGGAGGTCACTCAACTACTGGAGAAAGTGATGGAAAGAAAATTTGCCAAGAATCTGAGGACATTGAAGTGTTTCACAGGGATGAGAGCCCAAGGTCTTCTTCCCATGAGGGTTCTACTGCTGATGCTTCAGATGAACAGAAGGTAGAAGCAGAGGTGGGCAAAAGGCCTTTCCATTTTTTGATTAAGGTTCCAAGACATGTCGATGATAAAATTAAGGAGCAGATTAGACTTGCTCAGCTACAAGTTGATGAGAAGACTAAAAATCGGGATGCTATAAGAGCAGCAATTCAAGTAAAAAGGGTAATTGATACTTATAGAATTTGCGGTTTTTCTTTTGAATTTTGAGTATATTAGTTAAGTTTGTTGTTATTTAATTAATGCTTCTATGAACAGGCTAGTTGCAGCGAGTATCGTGATAAATTTGAAGGTGCTAAATCAGAGGAGAGAGCTGCACGTGATGCACTGAATGCTAAAAGGCAGGAAATTGATTCTCTTCAATCTGCAATTTCTATTGATGATATTGATGATAGGGTAAGTAAGAAATGTCTCAAATTTGTCACCCTGTTGCTACACCATTGTTAGGCAATTGACCACATCAACAACCTTGCATGTGATATTAATAATTTCAGCAGTACTATTTACTTGTGTGCATTCATTAATTTAGGCACTCACTTAGATGTATGCATAGATGCAGCTAAAATATTTTGTTAAAATTTGCATTAGATCAGTTATCTCTTATGCCCCCAGGATGTTCTATCACCTAGGCTTTCCTTGTCAAATTGACAGAACTATTCTAGAATTTACATTTTTTTTTCTGATTCGTTTTTTTTAAACTTTCCATGACACACTTGACTCTGTCCCAGATACATAAAATGGAACATATGATAGAACATGAAACAATGCCTTTGAAAGAAGAAAAACAGCTGATACGTGAAATCAAGCAATTGAAACAACTCCGTGAACAGCATTCTTCTAACATGGGTAGACAGGATGAACTTCAGCAGGCAGTAGACCGGAGGGACAATATTGAAGTGCGATTTAAGGTATTATTACTTGATTCCTATCTCCATTTTGGCCTTATGGTCTTGTTTTTTAGTCACTTATCTGGTTTTTCCATGTTCATAGCTCTTAAAGCAGGAAATCGATTCGTTAAGAAGAAATGTTTTGCAAACTGAAGGGATCACTAAAGCTGTTAGGAAAATATACTTTGAGGAAAATGAAAGGCTAAGGGATTTACAAGCTCAGTTTAAAGCTGCAGATGATCTTCGTCAAGAAGCATATACTTGTTTACAGAATCTGAAGAAAGAATTCTATGATAAGGTACATTCTGTTGTGTTTGTTTGTCTAGATATTTTATTCGGTGAGTTACAGTAAGGGGTACAATATATTCAGAATTTCTTTTGGAATAGTACTATGTTTATTTTGAAGAGTACGCTTTTTCTCCAAATGATATGTTGGGAATGGAGTTCGACTATGATATTGGAAAGACATGATGCTAGAAATACTTACAGCCAATCAACTGGTATCATAAAAGAGGTGGCCAATAAATTGGTTTTCATCAAAATTCTCAGGGTTATTTTGATTGGTCAAAGCTCTTCTGGTACCATGTCTTTCCAGTATCGTAGATTTTCCCGCTGGAAATGTTTTATTTGATCCTTTTCAAAGATTTCCATGAAAAGGTGAAAACATTATGGCTGAAATCCAAATGGTTAACAAAAGATATGGAAGTAAAGGTTCAATGGGTTAAGCGGTCTGCTAACTCTATGTCAGATTGTTTATCCAAGCAAGGGGTGGAGAGGGAGAGTTTGTTCTGGGCACTGTTGTAATATTTGCAGGTTGTAGGGGAGAGACAAGTCTGTTTGTCTCTCACTTTCTGTGTACATATTGTACCTCATGTACCTACTTTTAAATTCTTAATATAAATCTTGTTGCTACTGATAAAAAAAAAGGTGAAAACATTAGCTAGTGGTTTATCTTTGTGCTACCAATATGGAGGCTTTACTGACATTGTCACCAAGCCTTTTGTCATGTTCAGAAAGAGATACGCCCATAAGTGATCAACATTTCTGTTGTTAGCCTGCAACCTTAAGATCTAAGAAAAATGGAGGAAATAAATAGCTTGCATCAACTCCAGATGCCCTCCAAGATGAACCTTCGTGAAATATAACATGGTTGTATATCCTATTAACCAGTTCTTCAGCTCTCTTCTGTGAGTTTTCAGACTTGATTTGAACCATTATTACTTGAGTTGTCTTTCAAACACTGAACTCAAAGAAAATGCTCATTTGTCAGCCTCTGCATAGGAAGTTTGGAATTTCTAAAGCTATGATTAGGCATATGTCATAGTTATAGTCTATTTCTGACAATGCTCTTGTAGCTAGGAGCTATAAACTGGCCTTCTACTATACAATGATAGTAGATCTCCTAAGAGTTAAATTATTTGTGAAATCCTCTGGAGAGATCATACTGGCAGTTGCTCTCTACAAAAGGACTTTCCATATTGGGCTATTAGTTGCATGTAATTTAACAGAGTTTGCTAGTGCTGAAACCCTTGGTTTGTCCATGTTGTTTTGTTCTTCCTTTCTTCCCCACATTGAAGGGAAAAGATTGATTCTTCTCCTTCTGTGGGTGGAGGGTAGGAGAGAAAGATCTTGACTCATTGACTTCTTGATGCCTGACCTGGGTTGCATGAATTTGCAGAACAAATATTTTCGGATGTACAAGGATGACTTGAAGGTAGCCAATGATTTTGCATCTTCTAGAGATAAAGAAGGTCTTCAACGCCATTGTCTAAAGCAGGTACATTTTTTGTGTATCTTTTACCTTTATTGGCAAACCACCAACTTTTGTATTATGTCATATTAACAAATGAAACATTCTGTTTAAGGTGGATACAATAATGGAACTATGGAATAAGAATGATGAATTCCGGAATGAGTATGTTAGATGCAACACATTGAGTACACTAAGAAGATTAAGGACATTGGATGGCCGATCACTTGGCCCTGATGAGGAACCACCTGTACTACACAATGCTGCAGATGAGATAGTTGATGGTGCTATTTTAGCCTCATCCAAGATAATCCTCTCAACTTCAGAACAAGAAAAGTCAGTTACACCTTCAGAAGACGAAAAAGCAGATTTTAAGTCCAGGGTAAAGGTCGAACAAAAGAACATTATAGCCAAATCTAAGGTCACCAAACCGGCAACACTAGACAACAGCTCTGTGACTGTTTCTGGTAGGGAAGTGATAAAAGAGGTAATAATAGAAGAGAACATTCAAACAAAAGAGGAAGAGGAACTGGCCAGAAAGGCAGAGGAGTTGAGAAAGGAAGAAGCTGCAGCTAGATTGAAGGAGCAGCGCCGATTGGAGGAGAAGGCCAAAGCAAAGGAGGCAGAAGAGAGGAAGAGGCGCAATGCAGAGAAGGCCCAAGCTAGGGCTGAATTGAGAGCACAGAAAGAAGCTGAGCTCAAAGAGAAGGTAACTCACCCAACTTATTAGATAAATATACTTTAGTGGCATCCTGAAGATAGTATTCCATGGGTAGTCAACTAATTATTTGGTGAGGATATGGAAATCTTAACTCACCATAGGATTTCCTTTTCATTACCTCTCTCTGTAACATTGATCAAGGGTCATATGAACTTTCTGCAGGAAAGGGAGAAAAGGGCAAGGAAGAAGGAAAGGAAGAAGGCAGCTACAGAAGAAACAACAGATGGTGTCAATGAAAGAGAGTCTTCTCCAAGCTCAGAAAACACCCCACCAGAAGCTACACCAGAACCTGAAATCAAAGAAAAGCCTCCCACAGTGGCAAAGAGGCCTCAGAGACCATCATCATTGTCAAAGCAGATTAAGACAAAGCCTCTTCCTCCACCTCTTCGCAATAGGGGTAAGAGAAGGATGCAGACATGGATGTGGGTCCTTGTAGCAGCCTTGCTTGTTCTTGCTTTGTTCTTGGTTGGAAACATTGGCTTCTCTTATAAGCTCAGTTCACTAGGCTTTGGGTTCTGAAAACATCAGCCAATATACTAGTAAAAAATATAGAGGTTTGAATAGGATATGTCAGTCATTCTTTTGTGAACCATTAAGAGGCTTTCATTTGTTCTATTTCTTTGTTATCCCTTGGTTAGTTTTATTTTGTTATTAGTATCATCGCATCAACGTCTAGTCTTTAGTATGTACGAGGAGGGCTTTTTCTTTTCATACATTCTCAGCGAGATTGGTTTTCTGTTATTTGCTATAACAAATACGATTAATTTCATATGCTGTTTTTTCGTCCAGTACTACATAATAAAAGTGATCCATTGTGTTTCTTATTTGGATTTTGTTATATATGTCTTTGCCTCACTTTTCTGGTTGAATTTGTATATCCATTGGTGAACCCTGTGTAGGCTTTTATTCTTATTAATAATAGGTAGCCATATCTTTTTTTTTTTTTTAATATAAACCGAAACTTCATATCAATAGGCCTTTCAACAGCTAAGTTCTCTTCTGTAGAGGGGCAGGGACATTGTTTCAGTAATAATAATATATCTTAAATACATGCACAACGGAAAAAGACCCTTCACTCTGAAAAATCATACAGCTTCCTAGCCACTGAGATAAAGGGTTATTATTGCACAGGTGGGACACGCATTTTGGGTCGGTTGGATAACTCGAGTGGTCAATGCTAGAGCCTAACCCTAGCCTAGTAGTGCAATCCTTGAATGGAGTCAGGTTGGATCGCTCATGCCTTGTCTTGCCGTGTTGGAGTCTCCAATTCAACCTTCTTAATCAGGACAACATAGCCCATTCCGGACGGTTACATTGCTTACAACAATTTGATAAAATTTTTCTTTTGATTAAAGTGACATTCACCTACAACACAACTGAATGCACGCACCCCTACATTTTGTCCATCCTGCTCTAATTTTATAAATGACATCATCCTCAATCTCTTGTTATAAATTATTAATCCAAGGTACCGGAAAAAGTAGCATTTAATTATCTCTTGATCTACAATTAAGTGTTTCCTGATTTGAACTTCCATTATTTTAAATTTACATATTATATGGCCTTATTTTAAAATCTCTTGTTTTGAAGGATATTTAACTTTACATTTAATTTCATCAATTAAAATAGATCACTAGGAATTTGGGTTTTTGCAAAATGATCCAAGCGCATGGATCTGGCATCTATATTTGCATATGGTAGATTGAAATTGGATTTCTTATTAGCTGACATTCGTAGTCACATTGGATAATATTCCTCAAGAATGGTAAATTGGAGTTCGACTTCTTATTATCAGTTTCGCTATGTATGTAAATGACATTAACCTCCCTTTGCATCGCGGGGAGGGAAGCAAGCAAATAGTTTAGCTAACCTTTTATAGATCTATTATAATCTCGGCTCGCTTTCAAGTTTGAATCACGCTTAAAGCTTCAGTTTTACAACAAATATCCAAATCATGCGCGCTTTGAGCTCAGCTCGAACTGTGCTCATGGCAGGAGAAAAGGCAATCAGGGCTGCCCAAAATTTCAATCCACAACATTGGTCAAGAGTTCTTCTTTAATAGGGCTCTGCCCTCTGGGGCCAGTAGTCTTTTGGGCTTTTTGTGAGATGGATAAAATGATGTATCATCCTCAAAGCCTAAATTCAAATTCTCAAGAAAAAAAGAGCCCAAATTCAAATTTAATCTAATGGTTATCTGTTTCTTTTCTGAAAACTTTTGGCCTCTTGACATATTAGATGGATGGGATTCAAATGTTTTATATATCCTTGGAAATTTAAAACAATTTTTTTAATTACTTTTATGATTTTATAAAAGTAGCAACTTAAGTTTATCTTGTCTTCCTAAGTTTCATACACGTTTTTACCAATTACCATAACATCTGTGAATTTTGGCTGAATTTGGCATTCCTTATTTTAAGGATTTATCTCCTTTTTGCAATAAAAAATTCAGTGTTCATAAAGAGACAAGTCCTTATTTATCAGTTTGACTATTTTTTTTCGAACTGTTGTATTTAGGTGATGTTTGGTATCATTGCTGATATCTCCAAGGAAATTTCTCATAAACCAGCGACCTTCTGAGATCACTGATTTCTCAGAAATCAGCAATGGGTTTGTTTTGCAGTGAACTAGTGATTATCAACAATGAGTTTTATTTTATGGAAACTCTCTTATCCACATCAGATGCCATGTCATCCAAAAATAATCAGGATTGGCCTGAAAATGATGATTCCTCTTTTAGGCCCAATTCACCAAACAGCAAATTCAGTAAAGATTTTTGGATGGCTGACGTGACTCTGATATGACATGGCAATGATACCAAACTAACATCACATTACACTCATTTACTATTTCTTGAATGTACAAATATCTGAAAATCAATTCAACATGCTATTTCGTAGGAAACTGAATCAATTAGGCTCAGTTTGGATAGAGTACAAATACAGAAATGTACAGTACAAATACATACAAAATACAAGATTTTACACTCTACATATTTGCATTTATACTCGTTCCAAACTGAGCCTTAGTTTCATGGTTAAAATACTTGGACAGAAATCTTGAGGATGATATAACGATACTGGGAACGAATTGGCTGCATTATCTAGTCTTATATAAGATCTGAGAATGGGTTTGGCAATTAGAATTCCTAGGAGAGTGAAGTAGACGGTGAATTAACATTCATTTTTTATGCAGTTGATATTCCAAATACTATCTACAGATTTTGCGATACTTGCAGGATTTATTGGAATCAGTGACAAAAGTTACAGTTGAAGCTCTGAGGGATCAACTAGACTTTCTAACACTAAATGCTGGCCTAGGAGTGCATACTTCTTATTTTCCAGTGTTTTAACCTCATCGTCAACCTCTCTCCAATACAAAGCTTTTCTCATCCAAAAGCAAACACTTCCATCTCAGTGCTAGACACTCATTTCTGGATATTGAGGAGTCTGGTAAAGAATCAGAGGTTGATGATCTCTCTGGCTATTGATATGTTGGAGACTCTTCATTTTTTAGGGTTCTTTTGAGACCTTTCTGCGTTGTCTTGAAGGATGGAGGCAATGCCTCTTGAACCCCTCTGAGACTCTCCCCTTGTAGCTGAAACAATGAAGCTCCTCCCTGAGGCAAGAGTTTCTTTTTTACGTGGCTTAGGATTTGAGACTTCCTCAGGTAGCAGAATCCGGGAATCTTGCATTTTGTTTGCAGCTCTGAAATAGCTCTGGACAAGTCAAAGTAATTGTACTTGGAGAAGAAAGAATATCATAGGTAATCAAGTTTTGTTTCATGTAAAGGCATTACAGATGTAATTGAGTTTGTTAAAGTTACATATCGAAGATGAGTTTGTTATGTATCATGCATACCCAACTTGTAACAAAGATCAATATGGCGTAGGGAGGGATGCATTCTTGGTGAATACATCAGCAAGCTGCTCATTAGACCTAATAAATGAAAAACATATTTCATCCTACTCAACTTTCACCCGAATAAAATGTTTATAAGCTTCAATGTGATTAGTTCTATCGTGCTGAACAGGGTTATGGACAATGTTTATTGCTGCTTTGTTGTCACAATATAATGACACCATGCTGCCTATATGAAAACCCAATTCAGACAGGAGGTTCTTCACCTATAGAAGCTCAGTTTCTATGTACCATAGCATGGTACTTGGATTCAATACTACTTTTGGCAACCACAGTATGCTTTTTACTCCTCCATGTCATAAGATTTCTTCCTACAATATAGCAGGAGAGTGCATGTACTGGCTAAGGGCACTAACAAGATAAGCAATATTAGATCTCCCAACTGTCTCTATCAAGTTTTTGATTTGCTTCCATTGGAGTATCAACTGGTGTGGACATCATGTTTCCTGTGTCCTGGATAATATTGCATGTTATCCTGTTCCCTTTTCAAAAAGAGAGTGTGGTCAACATGGCATTGCTTATACACCAACTAATGTACTACCTTGCTAAAGGAACCAAACCAAGCTCTTGAGATTGCTTCAATCTATACAAGGACATTTTTAAATAACATACTTTTCCCTCAAAGCCTTCAACCACAAAGCCCTGGTGGTTGTATCATTATACCTCCTCTTCTAAGTCACCATTAGTGGCCTGCAAAATGCACTAGATGAGACAATAGGACTCTAATAGATGCCACAGGAGCAAATGTTTCATTGTAGTCCACCCCATACATTTGAGTGAATCCCTTTCCTACTGATCTATATTTGTACCTTTCTATAGTGTAATCTGCCCTATGCTTTACTATGAACACCCATTTACACTCTATTGGCTTCTATCCTTTGGAAGATCTACCATGTATTATTTTTATGAAGGGCATTAACTTCTTACACAATGCACTATTCCACTTAGTTGACTATTTGGCCTTTGTGACAAATTTTGGGATGGAAATATTACAAATGGCAGAAATGTAAGCATGGAATGAAGGAGAGAAGACATTACAAATAGGAAGGTCAATATCATTAGGAACAACAACAATGGGTCTATTGGATTCATGAGGAACAATAGCATCAAAAGGAATAGTATTACCTAGGAAGGAAGAAGGATCGGTCCTCTAACAGTCCATTGGCACTAGACATCTAGTATCTAGCTCTTCAACACCTTCAGATGAGGGTTGAATCCTCAGACTTAAGTCCAAGATGAGAAACAGGTAAAGGAAGTTGAATCTGTCTCTCATCATGAGTGCTACTCTTCTCCCCTTGGGGAAAGGCAGGAAAGAAGGTTGAGATTCAAGGAAGGTGGCATCCATAGAAACACGTCTTTTGAAACACAAGTTCAAAACATTTATACCCTTTTTGAGTTAATGGGTACCCAGAAAAGACATAAATAGACTTGAGACCTAGTTTATCATGGGAAGGAGACAAATTATGGACAAAGCACTAACAACCAAAGAAACAAAGGGAAATGGAGAGAACAAGGACTTGGGGAGCAATATTTGATAGGGGCCTCAAATTCAAGAACTAGAAATGGCATACAGTTGATTAAGTACAGTGCTGTAGGAATCGCATCAACCTATTATCTCTTCGGCACATGCATCTTAAGAATCAAGCCTTGAGCCACTTCTAGAAGATGTCTACTTTGATGAAGTGTACCATGTTTAGAAAAAATTGATTCAACTGGGTAAATATCATTCTCTAAAATTCCTCCATTGCATTGGAAACTTCTTCTCTAGAATGAAGCATATAAATCCATATATATCTCGGGTAGTCATCAATAAAACTGATAACATAACAATAACCACCATCATCTACAATAGTTGTAGGCTCCCACACATCACAATGGACAATAGAAAAATGAAAACTGGTTCTTTTATTATGTAAAGGATGAGAGTTTGTATAGTGCTTAATCAGATGACAAGTACGACACTGAAAAGAGAAAAATCAAGAGACAAACAAATTTGAAAACAAAACCTTCAAGAACTCAAAGGGAGAATGGCCAAGATGATGATGCCATAAATAAATATTCCCCTTATTACAAGAATCAATTGTTAGACATACAAAGTCAACTTAGACACCTTATCCTTCTGCATGTAAAGTTCGTCAACCGTCCAACCTCTACCAATCATTCTCCCAAAGCCAAATCCAAAAAACACAAGAATTAAGAAATAAAGTTAAGCAACAAGTTGAAGATTTTATTATTTTTATAATACTACTAATGAAAAGATCATTTTTCAAGTTCAGCTAGATCCTACTTGCCTTGGAAGCAAGTTTTACTCTAGGCAACATTTAAGTAATTAGTTTCTTAAGATGATAGAATTAAAGCAACAATTACTAAATAAGAAGTACTAAGGTGAAGCTAGGTGATAGGGAGTGCCTTGTCACCTAGTCACCTGCCTAAACATCACCTAGGTGATGTTTTTTTTATAATGAAAGAACAAAGTCCTAGAGCAGTTCCCTAGGTCTCATGGTAATCAGAAGTAACCTTTAAATCATAGTAACCCTAATCCTCATGAAATAAATATAAACTTCACATCAAAACATAGAAAGTTGGAAACACATTTATGAGAAGGAAAAGAAGAAAGAAAATAAAACATAGAAAACAGAAGAATCTTTTAGTTCCTTGATTGCTCTTGTATTGATTGGATAAAATATTCAAATTCTTCCTTATATTGAACACTTCTTAAGTCTTAAAGGTTCACGACCAACTCGCCAACTAATGTGATGATTGGACCCAAACAAATAAGAGAATAATAAAAGAGAGTAGTATAAGAACAATAAAATATTATAAACCTACAGAGTTAATAATTTAGTGCAATGCTATCAACCATAATATTATTATATCATAAAACAAAAAAAAAATATAAAAGATTATGTGGCACCTTATACAAAAATATGCATGTGACCATGCGTTTGCAGAAGGTGACACTCCCAGGATGCCTTATTGTTTAGGCGTTATGCCTAATCTGCCCCCAATTACAATCAAAATACTATTATCAGTTTAGAAGTCCATTCCATGTCCACACATGCAAAAGGTAAAGTATATTATTTTAGTATCAAGATGTCAAACAGTCTGTAAAATGAGATGCAGTACAGATATCACATTTAAAGGCCTCCCAAAAAGGTCCACCCTCAAAAAAGTTGCAGGAAAAAACATAATCTTTAAATACATTATATATAGACATCCAACATTCCTCCACTACAAAATTAATTACCCCAGCTTCTGATTTTGCTTTCTGCTAAAAAAATCCTGTTTTTTATTTTTCAAGCAAAATGGCCCACAAAACTGCATTTGAGATGGCTGACCATAAGTATCTTCCTCTTTTGGACATGCCAAAAACCTGCCACCCTTGAAACAATTCCTTCATTGACCTTGGGAAGCACCAGTTTAGGTGAACTGAGTTAATAAAATGATTTAAACTCTTGCAGAAAATCTGCAATGGATGAAAAGATGGTTTGAGGACTCATCTTGCAAACCATATAACAGGCACAGCAGATCTGGAATGTTAAAACCCTTCCTTAGAAACACTTTCCTTTATGAGGCATTTCTCCCATGCCACCACCCAAGAAAAGAATTTGACTTTTAGAGGTGCAGCAACTCCCCATATGGCTTTTCTTGGGAAAAGTTGCCTCTGCTCTTCCACAAGGCCCTTGTAGGACTTAAACTGAAAACTTGCTTGAATGTGCCCAATATCCAACTTCTTGAGTCAGACTGCAATTCTAGATGTTGATTCTGGATCAAAGAGAGAAAATCAAACACCTGTTCCACCTCCCAGTCGTTGAAATTCCTTCTAAAAGCTGCTGTCCATATTACTGCTGCCTTCCAATTGATAGCAATCAGCAACCAAAGCTTGTTGGTTGTCAGCCACATTGAGAAGAGTTGGAAACCTGTCCCTTACAAGTGCTATCACCACACCATGAATCCAACCAGAACCTCAATCTGCTTCCATTTCCAACCTAGTATTTTATCCCCTTAATGAAATGGTAGCATGCTTTATAATACCTTTCCACACTCCACACTCAAAGGATAGTTGGGAACCCTCTACATTCCAGCCATTAGCATTGATTCCATACTTCTCAGTGGAAAACCTCCAAGCCACTTTTCCAATAATGCTGTATTGAACCTTTTTTTCCTGATTCCTAAACCTCCATGAGAAAGAGGCTTGCAGATATCATCCCAATTCACCAAATGATACTTAGAGGAGTCCTCCCACCCAAATTAAAGGACATTTCTCATCCGTTTTTTCTATCTTCCCTGCCATCTAAGAGGGAATTGGAAAAAGGGACGTGTAGTAAGCTGGGAGGACTGCTATGACACTCTTAATTGATGTCACCTTCCAAAACAATATTTTCCCTGTTAACCCAGATTTAGCCAGAGGGTCAGCAAGAGTATTTGGCTGATCTAGGTACCCACTTGAGAGACACAACTTCAGTATTCTCCAAGATACCCTAAAATTCTCTCCAAACCCAAGGGACCAAAGGACCATTAAAGTGCCTTCCAATAATCATCGCCCTGAAATGCTAATGAAAATTATAATGGATTAAAACCTGAAGGAGAACAAACATTACACCATCATGTCTGCAATTCCCTTTAAAACTCTATTATTTCACCTCACTTTGTCCAAGAAAGGCCATCTATGTTCTATTTTATTAATTGTCTTTTTCTCTTTTATATTTGAGTTGTGATTAGAACACATCTATGTCTTTGATAAAGGGAGAACACCCTAACGAACAGGCCAAAAGTGAAGTTTTGAAAATATTGATACCCCCCCCCCATGCACCTGTATACTTTAGTAGAGGCATGATTTCTCTTTTCACAAGGGACGTAGCCCATTTGTGAAAATTGAGATTGCCCTAATTAGCCCTCTAATTTTTAGTTTTACTACATCATGGTCTATAGGGGCCACTGTTTGGTGTAATTGTAAAATCTAAGGCTGACAATCATGAGAACATGGATTTGAGAGTGGCTATGTTGTGAAAGAACATGCTGAAGGTTATGTCCATATCCAATCCACCCCTCCTCAAGATCATTCCTGGTAATGGCTTGTGATTGGGAATCTGACTTTGGCAGACAAAAAAAAAAGGATTCGCAAGCATGTTAACAGAAGTTAATCCTTATACAGACTGAACATTCCACACCCATCAAGATGGTTAATATCAATGCATTCTTACCTGTAAAATCTTAATTGCGGGAGTGTTCAATATTCAAGTCTTGTGTGACTTGTTTATTTCTCAAGAGATAAAAAATATCCCAGAAAAATGCTATATGCAATAATCCATTCATTTATGAATTAACTAATAATATTCAAGAAGAGGTTTCATTATCTGTATGTTATTTGCTGCTGACATAGTTTTGATTGAGACAATGGAGATGCAACTATAGATTTTTTAGATAACCAAAATATTTCAAGATAAGCTAGAAAAAGTCAATACATCTATAAAGTGCAGCTTTGCTAAAAGAATAGAGAAGAGTTAATATTGGTGGCAAAAGGAAAGAGGTATTTGATGTAGGATAAGCAAAGGTGCTCTAAAAACCTACAGACAACATTGTGCAAGGCTGAAAAAACTAGGCAAAATTTATGGTTTGACCCCCTCAAAATTTTATTGGTTTTCTGAATGTATTGTCCCAAACCCCCACCTATGCTACAATACCCCCCCTTATATTGTGATAGGTTCCCCCACCTGTCACTGTTCCCAATTGTACAAACTCATACAAATTTATGAGGTGGAGGAATCAATAAAAACCCCAAAAAACTAAAGCAACAATTGATGATTAGTTTTGAAGTAGAATAACCCCTAATTAAACTTTCTACTTGCTAGTTTTTCTTGCCAACACTAAGAACTTGAAAAGACTTTAAGAAGCTTCATAGGTTCTTAAACAAGGCTTCTAAATTTCGAAGTAGAGCACCTAAGTTTTCAAATACAATTGGAGAAATGAAAATGGCCAAAAAGAAAACAAAAGTGCCAATAAAAAACTAAAAAATGGCAGAACGAAAAATTTGGATTCCAGGTTTTGGAAATGGGGGAAAGAACCAAAAGGCAGGTTGACAAGATAGACGATCCATTTGATAATGGTTGAAGTGGCTGAACTGAATAGATTATTGCTTTGTCTTTCTAGTAGGTGTTGGATAAGATAACTGCATAACAAAATATTTGAGGATATAATAATCAGCCAACTTCAGCTTCAGCCATTAAGGAGCTCATAACCCACTTGATAACTTATTCACTAGAAGGAAAAGCAATAAGTCATTCAACACTCTAAAAAGGCCAACTTCTGTATAGAAACAATATAATTAAAAGAAACTACTAAAAATACCGATTAAAAAGCAACTACTAAAAATACTCTGAATAAGGAATAAAACTACCGCTGCAACTGGAGATGGAAATTGGCCAAACTGGCTAAACATAGAAATTGAAAGTAGAGAAGCAAAACGAAAACAGAAATGACCAAATAGAAAGTTAGCTAATGAACCATTTCTAATTTGTAATGTTGTAAACTTTTTGGTTGTATCCAATCATGACAAAATCATATGATATAGGTACACTGATAACTTAATGGAATAACCTTCTTAGTTACCGAAAGCGAGCACTACATCAATTGATACACAGAATATAAAGGAATTCCATTATGTATGCATTCATACTCCTATGCTAAACTTCTGCCATGAAGCTACAAGCAAGAACTGTAAATGTTTTCGGAATGATGTTTATTGGACACTTGAAATTTTCGCAGGAAACGAATTGAGTTAGCAAATAAGATCTAAATCAATTTTACATCCACAATGTAATTGAGTCTAGACAAAATTTTCAGCAAGGGAGCTGCCGGCACCAAAAAAGAAAAAAGACGTACTGACGAAAACGAATAAGAAATTTAGAAGAAAAAAATTCTTAAAGATTGTAGGCAAACATACGGAATAATTCTAGAAACATGTGGGAAGAACAAGGCGAATTTTATTTCTTGCAATGAATATTATGGTCAACATGAACCAACATCATGAGGCTGAGTAAAAACGCAAGCGAGCGAAAGTTCTGTCATCAAACAAAATTTTAGTTCATTCTGACACCAAACTATACCATTTGGAAGAGAAACTTTCACAATAACCCAAAAATTTAGAATAAAAAAACATTTATAAAAAAATTAGAATACAGAAACCTTTGGGAGAAAAGTAAAAGTTGAAAACCAGGAAAAAAACAGAATTCCGGCCAAGCAAGAGAAAGAAAAGATATAAGATGAGAAGAAGAATATTAGGCAATGATTATCGAACTGAGAGAGAGGGAGAGAGATTTATACCAGTTCAATGTAAGGAAACCAAGTCCACAATCTAAATGCCTGGTAGTGTCTTTAGGGTTTGCAGGTTCAAAATTCGAATTTGGATGGAAATAAATTTCGTTCGTCTACTTCACGATTTAGTCATTTACCAAACAAATAAGGGTCCGTTTGGTTAGCGGCGGGAATAAGAATCTGTAGACTGTAGTAGAATTCCAACCGTTTAATTGAACAGAATCGAAATCCCATTCCCATTCATGATATTCCCTCGTTTGACGGAATGGTAATTCTCTCCCCCTCGGGATTTGGGAATAAGAATTCATTCCACCCATGCAAGTTTTGTCAAAGTTTTGATGGAGGTTTCTCAGATCTTCCTATGCTGGCTATGGTTGTGTTATTTACAAGGCAAATGGAAATTTTTTGGCAGCCTCCTCGAAATCCGATTCGCCTAGGTCTCTCCTTTTTCTCTGAATCCCAGGCTGCTTTGGAAGGCTTGAAGATAGTGATGAATCTTCAACTCTCTCATGTAATGGCAGAATCCGACAGTACCCTATTGGTGAACAACGAACATGATGGAAAAGAACCATCCGATCCCAGCTGAGGTTTGGTCTGTAATTCATGATATTAAATAGGTATCGAGGGAGTTTTCCTTTCCTCTGTTCGTTGGTCTCATGTCTCCAGGAACAATGTGATGTAACTTATGCTCATTTTCTTACTAATCGAGCATGTAGGAATGGTCTATGGTTTTCTTTTCGTGATAATGATGATCATCATCAGGCTATTTGTAACAGTTGGGCTTTGTACTATGACTCTTCAGGGGTTTCCCCTTCTCTTTTAATGCAGTAATCCTGTTATTACAAAAAAAAAAAAAAATCAATTCCAACCTGAAAAAAATAGATAATTCCAATTCTAATTGCGAACCAGCAAAAGGAGACACTGATGAATAACTACTAATGAGTATTGAGTATCCTTTTTTTCTTTCAGAAATAATGTGTTAAAGTTAAACTATACGAAACTCCCCCTTTGTCAACTTTAATTTCGTGAATGCGAAACATAAACAGAAAGAAATAACAAGATTACATTGGAGGTCTACAATCAACTCCAGTCCAGACCATTTAAGTATGCTATGCTATGGCCCTACAGATCTGCTTGGACTGGGATTGGGGAACCACATTAGTTAATTTGCTAATTGCTAGCGCCACCCAAAACCTATAGCTCAGACCTCACCAATATGATTTCTTCATTCTTATGAACCCACCAAAACCTGCATGCCTAGCGTAGCCTTGAAGAAACCTGGCTGAGGACTGAGGACTGAGGATGCTTCCAAAAACTTGCAACATTCATTAATTCTCGACTTCAGTTGCTTGCCAATAATTTTGCTCATTTCTCGGCAAAGTCTCCTTCCACTACCTGTGTAACATATAAAGATTGAGGTGTTTGGATCTGGTTTTATGTTTTCAAAAATAAATTTATTTCGGCTTTTCCAAATAATCTAGAGGATGATTGCAGTCGTTGCCTTAAAACATTGAAAACTAATTAAGCGAAGTTCTCTGTACGTTTTACCATTAAAAATTGATCCAAACCAAACAATTTTGCATGGTTACAAATAAGTAAAGCATGAAGAATCGATTCAATTTCTTTTTGACAAATTAAGTAAGCAAATTGAGGAGGAATTCATCAAAACATTTTTTTTTCCGAGTTCTCTCTGACTGCTAATGCATTCTAGCAGCATTTCAACGCATAAATATTCCTGCTATTTAGTAGCCAAAAAAAAAAAAAACTATGTAAAAGTAAAACCCTCCGGATGGACCCCACACAAATCTATTCCTGCACCGATTTCGAGTGCTAGAGGTGATCATGGAGGTGTTTATATTATACCGATGTGATGTGAATGGTTTTGTTTTTTAAAATAAAAAACAACTGTCTTGTGAGCAAAAATAATACATTTTTATTGTAGTTTCACTTTGTTTTGACCTTTGTCCATATAGATATAATGTGTGGGATTGGATGATAATACGTTCTAATTGATTGTTTTTCGTTAATCAGAATCACTTAATTAGGTGGTGTTCGCTAATATGTATGATTGTATTGATGGCAGTTGTTTTTCGTTTTAGCTCTGGCAGGCTCATCATACATATTGCCATTGCCAGACTGGCAGATACCCCTCTCAGTGGATCCAGTTTCATATGAATCGGAGGAGAGGAGAGAATTCATTTACTGAAACTTGTTTTGGATGAATATAAGGTTCAGTTTGGAAAGAGTACTATGTACAGTACAAATACATACTACATATTTGCACTTGTGCTAGGTCCTTCCAAACTAAGCCTGAATGATGATGTGGTGTCCTCTTAATATAAGAGAGTGAAGGTTGGAGGAATGTTGTTTGTTTGGCTGGAGGAAGAGCAAAATAATATGGTCTCCACTTTATATGAGGGAAAATGAATGTAGGAAAAAGGTAGACGAAATTTTGCATTTGCTATAAAACTCACACTATCTTTTTCCTAATGGGTATTTGGCACTGGAGTGTTTTACAAGTTTCCATTTTTGCTGATGTATCATGCACACAACATTAGCAATTAAATGAAATTGGCAAGAAAAATCACATTTGACAATCTTGTTTCTCAAAAAATTAAAAAAAAAAATATTTTTGTAATGATTAGCTTTGGGATTTAGGAAATGAGAGGTTTCTTGAATCAACTTGGTGGCATGGCACATTGAAATTTGAAAAAACTGATTACTTTTTTGAGATGCCACTCAATTATCATTATATATATTATAATGTTAAGCTAAATCACTTTAAACACCAATCAATCCGCATCCCGATTGAAATGAAACACTTGTAAATTAGGTCTCACTTATGAAACAAAATGCTTATAAAATGCTCCGGTGCCAAACACCATGCTAGGCTCAATTTGGATGGAGTACACATACAAATATGTACAATACAAATAAATGCAAAATAATACAAAATACATGATTTTACACTCTACATATTTGCATTTGTACTCCTTCCAAGCCGAGTCTTAGGCAATGTTTGGAAACGATGCAAATAAGTGTAAATGCAAATATGTAGAATGTAAAATGGTTCATATAAATTGCAAAATTGGGTTAGTTTTGCACTGACAAATTTACCTTCTTACCAAAAAGACCTTTAGCTGTAATGGATGCAAACATGAATTCCAATAAAGCATATGCTTTTTTTTTTATCAAAAATCCACTTGAATGCAAATTTACTTCTTTTTTATTGATGTACTTTTACATCTTATTATCAATGTAAATATGCATTGGTCCATCATTTGTTAATAAATAAATGTAATGTTGCCAAATACAGGCAAAAGTGAACTAGAGTGCAAATTTACCCTAAACCAGGATTTACACTCCATTTGCATCATCATTTCCAAACACAGCCTTAGTAGCAAACAAAAAAAAGTCAAACTAAAGCAAAAGTAAACCAGAATTTATACGGTTTACTTATATTAGCATGCATTTGTAGATAAAGTCTTGAGAATTCTTACTTCCATAAGAATAGGACAAAATCGTTATTTAAAGGGAAAATTCTTGATTAGTACCATGTACTTTGGGCCTAGTGCCACTTTGGTCCCCGAGCTTTAAAATGCAACAATTCAGTATTCAAACTAAAAACGTGCCAATTCAGTACCTACCATTAACAAACCGTTAAGTGGCATTTGAAAAGACACAGATGCCCTTTGAGTGTCATTGAATTTTCATTATCAATCATCCAAACATTCATAAAGATGAACAGTCCGAAATCCTTGTCTCTTCTATTCAAGAAAGTTGGGGTCACCAAAATGCCCACGAACGTGACCCCAATTTCTTGAATAGAAGAGGCAAGGATTTGGGATTATTAATTTTTTGTCAACTGTTTGGATGATTGATAAAGAAAATTGGATGAGAGTCGAAAGACATTTGTATCATTTCAAATACCATTTTACGACTGATTAATGATTGATTAAGGATAGATATTAGATTGACACGTTTTAAAAATTTAGATACTAAATTATCATATTTTAAAATTTGGGGACCAAAGTGGCACTAAGCCCAAAATACAAGGTACTGAGCGAAAATTTTTCCTTATTTAAATGTAAGGAATTGTTGTGGGAGCTCAATGTCAAGGTAGGGGTGCACAACTTGGGCTTGAGCTTGAACCCACGTTAGATGTAGTTGAGATTCTTCAAATCAGGCCTGACAGATAGGTTGATACCATGTGTGATATGTCAAATACGTACATTTGATACAAGGATTATGGATTTTGGATTTCCAGGTTACTGACGTGGCATGAGTGGAATAGCTCAATCTCGGTTGTTTTTCTTTTGGATTAATTAACAATTAAGGTTGTTAATACAAAATTTCGAAACTAAAAAAAAAAAAGAAAAAAAGCTTATTAATTGAACTTGTTTACCAAAAGGATAGAGTTTGATTGGTTATTAAATTATTAGGGGAAATTTAACAGTAGGTCTAAGATCACAATCCCATATCTGATGGGTGGTGTGGATTGTCCACATAATTTCTCCATGTAATATAAAACAGTATAGATCTTTCAAACATGCATCAAAGGCTAACTGATAGAATAAAAAAGGCCAACTGATAAAGTGAAATCATTAACAAAAATTCAGAAGATAAGAAATTAAGATTTTTATTCACTAGTTTTTACTTTTTAGGGAGTTTTTTCTTCATTTTGAATTGAACTGCAAATTGAAACTCTTCTCCATCACATTCTCCCTTTGGGTTCCAATTGGTTGCATGCGGTTAAAAAGGAAGGAAACCCATATTATTTCTCAAGTCTCAACCATTCGGTTTTGTTTTGTAAGTTTAGCCAAAGACCAGTCAAAGTAAGGAAATGATCACTTGATTTCCAAATATCATTTCCAAGGAGAATTCCCTTACATTGTATTTGGAAACGATGCAAATATGTAGAGTGTAAAACAGTTCATATAAATTGTAAAATTGGGTTAGTTTTGCACCGATAAATTTATCTTCTTACCAAATAGACTTTTAGCTGTAATGGATGCGAACACGAATTCCAATAAAGCATATGCTTTTTTTATCAAAAGACCATTTGAATGCAAATTTACTTATTTTTTATTGATGTACTTTTACATCTTATTATCAAAATTCCAATATGCATTGATCTGTCATTTAGGCTGCAACTTGGGCCGGATTGGCCTGAACCCAACCTGAAAAAGTCGGGTTGGATTGATGATCGGGTTAGGGTTAGGGTTGAAATTCTTGAACCCAACCTTAGTTCGGGTTGGGTTACGGTTGACCCCTCGGGCAACCCGACCCCCTATACTACATGTCATATATATATATATATATATGCATGATAGTTATATAACCCCCCTATATACTATCATACCTTTCTTTAGTTTAAGTTATTCATAGGTACTTGACTACTTGTCTTTTTCTTTTGTCTTGTAATTTTTATGTGTGACCTATCAAATAGATTCAAATTATTTGCTTGATCCTACGAATTGTTATTAGTGATTTTATTTCCATAATTTTATGTTTCATTATTGTTGATTTCATGAATTTATATTTTTGAGAAAAAATCTATCATAAGTCATAACTCATGATAAATAAATACTTATTTTTTCTACTAGATTTTAAGGGATGGGAAGGTTGGGTTGGGCCCAACCCAATCTGAAGTTGACATCGGGTTGGGTCAGATTGAGTTAGGGTTGAATAGGTCGGGTTGGGTTAGGGTTAGGGTTGGAGGTTTAGAACATAGGGTTGGGCTAGGGTTGGCCTCAACCCAACCTAACCCGGCCCGACTTGCAGCCTTACTGTCATTTGTCAATGCATAAATATAATGTTGTCAAACACAGGCAAAAATAAACCAATGTACAAATTTACCCACAATCGGAACTTACACTCCAATTGCATCGTTTCCAAACGCAACCTTAATGATACGTAAAAGAAGCATTCTTATATGAATATGCACGCCACAATCCTTGTATATATACCAAATTTGTTTTCAATCTAAAGGATTCTCTTTCCATTGGCTCAGATATGTAGCCAACCTATCCAAAATCAGGGCATAGGATATTTCCCGGCCGTGTGATCAATCACCAAACAAAACATTTCAACATAGAAAAATTTACAGCTAAATAGACATCTTAAAAAATTTGCATACCCCTTTAACTATCAAAATTTACTTTTTTTTTTCTCTCTTCTATTTTCTCAATTTGTGATTATTATGGTGACAGTAAATTCAGCCTATATATCCAATAAATCTGGATATTGGAAAATTAAAGCATAAGAAAAAAGAAATATTATTTAAAAAATGGAGTTACTGATGACTTAATATGCATTTTCAAATTGAATAGAAGAAAGACAGTATGTAATTTAATTAATTGTATTTTCTCAAAAGCTATATATAATTATCAGTATCACAATAAAGGATATATATAACATGAAAAGTGAAAAACATTTTACTTGGCAAATAAACCTATATATGCCATAAATTAACAAGCCCATGAATATATAGTACAGAGCTGCAGTAGTCTTGCAGAAGAAACCAACACAACACATGGTTGTGGATCCATCTTACCGAGTATTAGTCTCTGCCCCCATAGCCGCCTTTCGGCCGGCTTCTACCTATAGACTTACTTTTAACCATGCTATCAAAGATAGCTTCTCCGACCCCTTCTCCGATCCCCTCAAGCAGTCCTCCGATGAAGCCTGCAACTACATGGGATGCGAGGCGAACGGCAGCCCCTAACCTGCTAGGCTTTTCGGGAGCTTTGATGCCATTGGCGTAGAGCCCGTTAACCATGTTCTTAGCACACACTGCATGGAGGTAGTAGTCGCAGACTGTGCAACCATAAACCCGGCCACCTGGCCCCTTCCTGTTGCACTCATTGCAGTTGAAATTGGGGTCTCCGCTTGTTAATGTCGTGGTGGGTAAAAGAATCAAGGTATGTGGATGCACCGGAAAATCCATTTGCCGACAAAGCTTTGCACAGCAGGGATGCATCTCGAAGTTACAGGTGCTACAACGGTAAGCATAGCCTTTGGTTGTCTTCCCACAAATGTCGCATCGTGATCGTATAAATCCCCCGCCTTCAAATTGATTCAATAAATTATGGAAAAAAAAAAGAGTCAGAGCTGAGGGAGAGATCAACCATATATATAGAATGAAAAGATCAAGAAGATAATAATAATAAAAGGAGGAGATGGAAAGAAGAAAAGCCTTGATGAATGATGATATATAGTTAATGGATATAAAAAAAAAATGATAGAGCTAGAGCCAGAAGACATCTGCGAGCGCGCAGAAATCATCACCTGGTTTAGTGTAGAAAACAAGATGGTGTTGATGGTGGAGGGAGTGGGTGGTTAGGGAAGGCGGAGCCAAGGCACAGAATTCATGTAGATGAACATCGCATTGTTGGCATTTGTACCTGCTCCCTGCTCCATACTCTTTGCAACCGGTGCAGGTAAACAGATATGGAACCCTAACTTGCACGAGAGGGTGCTGTGGATGACTGAAATGGGTTATCTCTCCAAAGATTGGAGAAATTAAGGTCTGGGTTTGGGTTTCCATTGAAGGAGGAAATCTCTTCTTGTGCTTGGAAAGAAAAGTTGTGGATTTGGTGAAGGCTTTGCTATTTATCATGGCCTGTTCTGCAGGTTCGCAATATCTGAAACTCGCGCGATGTGTAGTATCGTTTAATTAGAGCCCCAACAAGGAGAATATTTCTGACAGAAAAGAAAAAGTAGCTACGTACTATCATGTGGATGCATGGAGGATGCCAACAACGGAACATGTATATAAACAACAACAACAACAACACTCACTGTATGTTGTCAAATTGCTATAAATTTCTTTTTCTTACAAGCTAAGATATTCTTTCAATTCTCTTACGTACAAATTGACACATCCATCATATCTTTATATATCTATGTATCATACATACGTCTACGTCTACAATACTTGAATGCTTGGGACCCACTCGAAGTTGTTCCAGCCAGACGTGTTGTTATTTGTTAATTTTAGAGATGCATGGATTTATTTTGCAGTACATATACCATAAAACAGATATGTGTGTACGATTATATATATATATATATATATGGGATAGAAAATGAAATTTAATTAATCAACACATATGGTATTTTAATATCATCATCATCCATGCCTTATCCCAAATATATGGGTATGTAAAGGAATCCTGTTTCATAAATCCGTTTTATTAATTCATGAATATTTAACAAAAATTTTAGTACTTGGGATTGGTGGTATAAGACAAATTCATGCTGGCAGAACTTTAATGTGGTATGTATAAGACAAATTCATACAGAGTGACATACGTACGATTAAGTCTTAGTGTATTGGACGGACAAACTTTGACCAGTGGATATAAATCCACAGCAATGGATGATTTGCTTTGTATACAGCATTTGCGGTTGGAGCTAGAGCATGCAAGCACGATACCATTAACCAAACAGGGCCAGCCGCCAGGGGATCATCGATCCAAGCATCCATTTCCACTGTATTAATTCTACAAAATTTTCTTGATCAATAACCAATCCATTATCCTTTTATTTTTCCCCAATTTTGGAAGGGTACTGTTGCAAAGAGATCTTGCAGAATCAATTGAGTGAGTTCTCAACCATCTGATCGATCCGCTTGCACGCAGAAAGTAGTCAGGGTTTCCAGTAAATCAGCATTGTGGAGAACATTTGCAAGGCTAAAACTAAAATACTTGTCAACTTCTTCTTCTATAGTTTCTCAAGATTTAGGAGTACTCCTACGGTTCGGTTCTACATGCATTAAGCTACGATTTCAAAAACATAGTGCTAGTAATGATATTCGGATCTCTCTCTCTAGATCTCTTTCTCTTTCTCTTTGAAAAGAAAAGAAGAAAAAGAAAAATGAGATAAACCAGAAGATTCTTTATTATTGTTCAAATTTTGAGTAAAAAAAAAAAATTGGCAACATCAAAATAATTGGTAGGGCCCGAAGAAGTCCAGATTCCCAACTCCAGGTAGTGCTCGATGAAGAAAAACAGAGACCATGCAATATTCCATCAAACATCAAAGTCACGCTTTTCTTTTCTTTTTTTGTTTTCCTAACTCGCTTTAACTCTCTAAGAGTATAACACACGTGACATCAGTATCTCTCCCGGTGCTTTTTCTGTATACCCTTCACAAATTTTAAAATGACATTAACTACCACTAAGTAGTAAGTACTAACTAAGCATCAAGCATGCACTCACTATCTATGTCAACATTCAGGTTTAATTTGGATAGGATTCGGGTCCTGTTAGATAGCTAGCTTCGGGCAAAGGTAGGCCAAGAAGACTGTGAAAATGTTGGTGGGTGGGTTTAATCTCTACTCTCTACCCTCCTTTTAAAAGCCCAGCTAGCTCGCCCATTGGCAGTTGAGTTGGGCATGCCGGTACAAGTAAAGAGGGTGAGACGTGAGAGAAAGATTAAAGGTATGATAATGGATGGAAATGGGGGAAAAGAGCAGGGATACAAGGATAATTGGGTAAAGCTTTCCAGCTTTTACATCGTTGGGGCCTAAATCCATGTTCTAGGGGAAAAAGGATTCTTATTCGATTCAAAGCAATGACAGTGAAAAATTTGACAGCCTTTTATTATTCCTTATTTTATTTTTATATATGTATTTTTCTACCTAGTAGTGATTAAAGATGCATAACTGGTGTTCCCTTTTATTAATAATAATTGGTGCGGAAATTGATGTGATAAAGAAATTAAAAGGGGAAAGCAGCCGTTGCTCCTCCGTCCCCCTCCCCTCACACACTACTTGAGCTGAGTCCCTCCTTCCTCTTCCTTTTTGGCTATAATTTCTATTTGATGATTGCTGTCCTTGCTTTGGGTGTATATTACCGATCGAACTGGATTGGCATTCATGCAGTCAGTTGTAGGAGTATGTACGCTAGTTGATTAGATGACGAGAATGAAGAATTTGGATGGAGATGTCTTTCTTAGTCAAGTTAATTTGATGCGCCAGCACCAACTGCCAAACCCCCCCCCCCCCCAATTATTGTTGTTGGCCTCGCCCGACTGGCGACTCGTTGTGATCATCACTGGTCAACAACTAAAAAGCAAACTAACCAGAATAATCCCCTGGAGTTGGAGCTTTGATTGATTATTATTTGGAAAATTAAAATCAATCATCAATTAATTAAAACAGGAACAAATTAATTAATAGATCAAGACAACAAGTAGTACAAGGTAATTAAGTTGCGGGGGAAACCAGTTGAGTTGTAGTGTTTAAATACGCAAAGAGATAGGAGATTAAGACTTAAATAGAGGATATGCATGCATATCTATCTATACATCTTTCTCCTTTCTCCAAACCCCCTCCCCCCTCTTCCTAATTTTTTGAATTTTTTATTTTTTTAATTCTACATGATTATCTATTAGACCAATAAAGAAATAATATAAGCTTAACCATTTCTAACAACCATAAAGAAATAAGGATTTGCTTTTCTAATATTTAGTCAAATGACACCATTTTCTCACACTTCCTCCTAAATTCTTTCTAATTCCTATTATCTCCTAAATTATATCTAATTCCTTTTATCTCTTAAATCATCTCTAATTTAGTAGAAATATTCTCTCTTAAACTATCTCTAATTTAGCTGAAATTAGGAATGTTCAAGGATTGGTTCAGTTCGGTTGCAAGTTGTTTCGCCAACCAAATCGACCTGATTCATTATAAATTTATTTTCAATAATCGTGTATTTTTGCTATAGTTTTCAATAATTATTGGATATTAAACTATTGTTATTTATTAGAGGTTAGACTATTAATTTAGTTGAAATTATGAGTGCTCAAGGATTGGTTCAATTCGGTTGCAAGTTGTTTCACCAACCAAATCGACTAGGTCAGGTTGAGAGTTTGTCACCCGAAACCGACTGATCATTAGTGAAAACTCGCCAACTTGGATTGTATTCGTTTGAGTTTATTTTTTGTTTGAATTGTTTATCCAAAAGATTTATACTTAAAAATTAAATTTAAATTTAATAAATTACAATAGTATTATTAAAAAATTAAATTTATGATATAAAATATTTTAAACTAAGAAATATGAGAATTTTCCCACTTTCCTGTATTAAAAAATTATATTTAAAATATAAAATATTAATATATATCTATAGTCGGGTAGGTTCAGTTTTGATCGGTTTATAAATAACCAAAACGAAACTAACCTAACTTGGTCGGATTGGAAAATTGCTGAACCAAAGCTGATCAGAAATACTAAAAAATCGATCAACTCAGATTAAATTCAATTGGAATTAATTATTAAAAAATTAAAATATAAAACAATTATATACTTTTATGTATTTCTATTGTATTTAACCATTAAACAAATTCTGTACATCGCATTGATCCCTGCTAATATATATATATATATGAGAATGCATGAGATATATATGAATGATTCTTTGCTCAAATTTCTTTCAAAAAAGATTCTTTGCTCAATCGGCTGGCATTCCTTAGAATTATGACAGGAGGGAAATTAATTAATTAAGCAGGTTAAGTAATTACGACATTTATCCAGCAAGGCTTAATTTGGTGGTGGAGCCGATCAAGCGAGAGCTAATTATGATCGAGGTATTATTCTATTTCTACATTAATCTACAACCTCTAGCTTGCTAGCTATATGCATGAGACATGGGTGATGGGTTATCTGTGAGTAACAAGACTATGAAATTGTAGTAACGCCCCGGGCATTCTGAACCCTGCAATTACCACTGCATCGGTTACGTTGTTGATGTATATATGAATAATTAATAATTCAATTAATATATTCATTATGAATATATATATATATATATTGACGGATGGGACCATTTAATACAAAGTTTTAATTTTAATGTCGAAATTTGAATTAATTTATGTATAGATTGGGGATAACACCCCTAGTAACAAAAAGGGTGAAACAGGAGGGAGGCTCCACCGTGCTAGCTGTTTGTGGTAATGGCAGGCAGTGAGGCTGTTGGTCCCTCTATATATATCCACCAGATTTTGTATAAAACTATCTAGCTAGTGCTAACTGCATGCTATATAACTACAACAACGACTATTAATTTTTTTTAGTATATATTAATTATTATAGTATTAATTAATTAAAGAGATTGAGGAATTAATGGTCGAACACCTTTAACTAAAAGTCACCAATTTTTACTTAACCTGAACGTGAAAATCCTCAATCAGTAGGTGAGATCAAATACAACTTGAGTAGAAATTACGGATTGGCCGATTACCCTCTTACTTGTAGGATGGTTGATTTGTTGTGGAGAAATTTAATTTATGGTCTAATGGAAATGTACCAGAGTTGGAAAATTAGATAACATCGTCACGCGCTTCTGTTTTGAGAAATTTCCTTCTAATTAATTTATTGTTACATCAAATATTAATTTTTCTTTCTTTTTTATTTTCATTTTTGTTAATTAATCGGTAGATACAAATATGTTCTTTCATATGATATACTAGGGGAACATGTGCGATGCCGGTTCAAATCAGCTCCCACAACGTCCTATAACACATTTCCGCCGTGTAGTGGAACATCTTCCAATGATGACATCATGATTCTTGATATTATCATTGGAAAATGTTTCCAACACACGGGCGAGGATGTGCTGTGGGACGTTGTGGGGGCTGATTTGGTTTCGTGTGATGTACGGACTTTGTTTAGTAAGAATTTTAGTGTTTATTTGAAAGGGTCAAAGAACAAAAATTTTTAAAACCGAAT